AAAATAACCAATAGCCAACCAACAAATATGCAGGAGAAAGTGGAGGTCGATGAACTGGATGGAAACTCGTGGCTGAGGAGGCCTCTGTGTGACATGGCGCGTCAGGTCATCGCTCGAGTGGAACCAGGTTGAAAGGAAAGCGGCGAGTGGGTCGTCAGTTCAAGGGTGACATGAAGGAGATCGTGTGAAGACGAGTTGAAACAGCAGAAGACAGAAGCGAGTGGAGACGTGCATTTGAAGCCGTATGTTCCACTAGGAACCCAAGTGAAAAATAATAATAATTCATAATATTCTGGAAGTGTATAAAAACTGTTTCACATATAACGCGTTAAGGCGATAAATTATGCATCTCATTTAATATACCTTAGTTTATTACTATAACTAAATTAAAGTGTGACTTTACTTTCTAAATCCAAAAGTTATGCTGCTATATACACAGATCACCTTTTATTTCTCGAAACACAATATAAGCCACGCAAATTCAATCCTATTTATTATTATTGTTATTATTATTTTTTTCAGAATTCATTTCATGAGATGTGATCATTTTCAAAGATAGAATGATGTTTTGTATGTAGATGCAAATATCTAGTAAATTGAGAGAATTCAATTCCCCTACTGTATAAAACAAATAAGCATAGATAGGCATCTATAAATGCACATTCAGCTGTATCATTTGTTAATTATATATATATATATATATATAAACACTGTAGAATAAAGCAATGATATATAACTGCTTTAAACTAACTAATCGAATGAATGAATAGATAAACGAAAAGTTTGAAATATGCATTGTATCATAATAAAATTAAATCACTAAGCCACTGGGACGCGATCCAATGGCCAACCCATGAATTTTAACTTCTGTCAATTCACAACATAGAGCGACTCCTAGCAAATGTCTTTGGCGAATATTTGTCCTCACACCCGACCTTCTGCACCCTACTGGTCACGACTTCTCACTAGAATCCCAGCTCATGATGAAATCCTGTAACCAGTCAAATCCCTACAAACCAACACTTGAAAATTAAATCAAACTAAAATGAGCGTATGTTCATATTAGAAACAGTGATCATGACGATCATGACTAGAGTATCCCGGTGAAAGATATTAACAACATTGTCTACTGGTTGTGATATTAACTGTCTATACAGAAGCTTGCGCCGGCGGTATAGCGGTTAGGACGCTCGCTGACTATGCACATGGTCTGGGTTTCGATTCTTGGCCACTGGACGCACTTCTTTACCTCGCTAAGCCAGAAATAATGCTGGTAAAGAGGAAAGGTTGGGCATAAGGCTAGCAACCCCATCCTGTAAAATTAAACACTGCTACAGAAACTTCAAGCCACTAGTTTGAGGTCCTATGTTCCACTGGGGAACATGAAGGAAAAAAATACAGAAGCTACTTTTTATCAGTGGAAAACGAAAGTATCGATTAAACAGTACCTCCTAATGAATTATAAAATCTTAAAATATACCGTTAACACTGATCATTTATGGTCACAACATTGTTTTATGCATCTAAATAATGTACGAAATACTGGACTGGAGAATACTGTAGGGATTGCATAGTTTGACTGCTTTATCCCATTCCTTGTGTTCCAAGTGGAACTTAGGGCTTCAAGATCTATTTCGAAGCTTCTTCTTCTTTTCCTGAGATTACAGTCAGCTAGCGAACTAAGTGAGGTTTAACAATGAGTTGGGTTGAAGTGAAATCCGGATAATGTGTGTTTTCGACGAGGATTCGGTCACTGAGCCGCTGACGCATATGTTTTGACAGTGGCTGATGAGAAAATAACCTATGGAAAGCTCAGCTTCCCTCAAATTTTGTTCCGGGTGTGATCACAAACTGATGTCACTTGGAGAACCACTGGAAACTAGGCCTCCTCAGTAGTACGCATCCACCAGGGTTCGAACCTAAGACTCTCCGACTACATGGCAATCCCGCAGACGAATCAGCCACTAGAAGGGAATCTTATGGCCCATGAATTCCAGCTGCTGACATTTTGAGACTTTAGAGCGATTACCGTTCACGATCTTTGACTGAAATTCCGGGCAACCTAGCTCTGTAGCCAGTCACTACCGAGCCAGTACTTTCAGGTTTTCAGTGGTCGGTCCTTTAAATGATATCAATTCGTGATGAAACTTGAACCGAATCAAATCCGTGCAAACTAACTTTTAAAAATCTTCTGGACTGTTTGCTAGTTAGTCCTTATTAATTAGGCATATCTAAAATCTGAATGAAGAATATACGAAGAGGAAATAATAGATTGTGAGCAGTTATTGAGCCGAGTGACAGTCATAACAGAAAATTTAGTCTAGTAGATATGTTAATCTGAGGCTAAATATTCTACTCAGAACGTGAAAATTGAAAAAATAATAATAATAATACCTCTAACTTCAACGTACATTAATACACCCTTAAAACACCTGGCACATCAGCTTTCACATAGCGAATCCTTTTTGAGGTTTCTTGCAGATAGATCAGGACCAGTAGACAGGTATTAACTTTAATATAACCTTTTACACAATGATTTAATTTCATTAAAAGGCGTCAACAATTTAAGAATCTCAGGTATTTTATGCTATCAACTGCAAAAGATTACAAATTTCATAACATTTATATGAATATATATCACGAAACTCATAAACTTATCCTATCATAGTGTGATTATTATTTACCCAGAATAAATAAAGGATTTTTAAACCAAACTGAATCTAATAACTTCCTATTTTAATATCATATTAGATGAGCACTGAATTAATTCCCTTTGAAGCATATGTTTGCCTATAAAACGTATAAATATATATATGTATTCAATTCAATTGTAAATATTGCATGTTATAGCGTAGTCTGTTGGTTGCTATTGGCAGTACAGTGTAGAATCAGTTATGTAGAGATGTCCATTTTCTGGAGATATTATTATTATTATAAACCAATTGTCCGATATAACCATAACCGGCATATCTTCTACAAATAATACTAATTGATTCTTATAAAGGATAAAATATATATATTTCCACTCCTTAATTTAGAAAAAGAAAAGAAAAGAGTAAAAATATTCGATTTGTGCACTGAATGAAACAGTATGACAGCCAGTATTGTTAAGCCCACTCCACTTCTTATTTTCTACAGAGTTCCTCTAGATGTTTTCATATAAATATATACATTTATTTTCTACTCTTGTTTATCTGTTGTACAAAAAGGATAAAATGATTAGATTCAATTTTAGATCTGAGAGGTTTCATCAAGTTGAATAATAATAATAAGAATGGAAGCTTCATTTTTCCCGCTTTGAATAATAATCGATCGGTTATTTGACTTCCTTTTTGTAGACTGTGTAACCATCACTGTTCACTCACTAGCAGCCAGCTACTTTAAAATTGTCAGTGAAATTTGATTCTACGCACTCAGTAATAGCACTATCGAATCATTTAAGATTATGCATTTCATGTGAATATGAACATGTCTTGTGAGCATGAGTTTGCATTTATTATAATCCTCTAATATACAATAAGATAATACCACTTGCAAGCCGCTAACGAGAAGAAGACAAGTTTTGTTGACCAGTATCAAGCGGTTCATATCATTCAACAGATTTTAATACACGTCTAACTCAATCACAGTGATTTTTTGTGTAATTTTCAAATCCCTTGAAGTAAACAGAACTATGAGTGACACTCTAAAGTGGGACACTCACTGATAATAAATGTCAAAACTGTGAAGTTAGCTAAAACCTGGATACTCATTAATTTTCATATGCCAGATAAACATACACCAAGAAAAAAGGTTTGGAAAGCCTGATAAAGTTAAATGTAGGAGTATGTTCCGAATGAAGAAACAACGACTTTTACCAACTTGGAAAGTATATATAATTTACGGTAACAGATGAATAGTCTCCAAGGAAAGCATAAAGAAAATTGCCCTAACATATACAAAAGACATCTCAGAAATCACTGCACGACTCTTCAGACCGATAGGAATTGATTTCGCATACAAACCAACAAAATTCCTCAACTCAGTCAGCTCTGTGTCAGCCGAAACACTTAACAGCGAAAGAAGATAAAACCAGCATCATGTACAAAATAAGTTGCAATGACTGAGACGAAAACACTACAATGGCCAAAATGGACGTCCTCTTCGTCTTCTTTGCATCCATAATCATAAACTAACCGTCAAAAGACATGACATCCACTCCCTCATATCTCTGCATACAGACAACCACAGACATCAATTCAACCTGGAAAACCAATGTTCAAATATTAGACAGAGAAAACACCAAAAATGACAGAGAATTTTTAGAAGCCCGGTATTCCTGTGAATCGATACATTGACATAGACAAAATCTACCAGTCGATAAGAAAGAAATCTCATGCACATAAGGTCAAACTTCGGGTCAAGGAAACAATCAACACCAATACATATGCAAGTAACCAGGAGGGTGTGGAAAACCCCAAAAACCATCAATCTCTTTATCAAGGTGACCAGAAGAGATGACTTATAAACGCGTGGAGAAATCTAAAGTCTCACCTCAAGCTGAAGTATGCGCTGAAGATGTTGCCTAGAAGTGGGGCAATCAAAGCTCCGCAAATTTACTATCCAGCTCATAGAACACAACTACATCAAAATATTTGTTTTTGCATGGCTTGATTCTGGTTGATTAAATTGAGTAATGGAAAGCTTTTCCCCTACGTAAAAATATAAACTAAAAACATATAGGTCAGTAAAGAACATTCTTTTTTGTAACTGTATTTCAAAGTCGTGCAGTTATTTAGTGTTCACAGAGGTAACAGAACTGTCTGTTATGATCACTGGTCAACACCAATTGGTAACAGAACATATGCAATAATTTCTTATGACTAACTAATACGTTAAATAAGTAAAGTGAATATGGTGAACAGTTTTGAATTCTCAAAATATTACACTTTATCAATGCATATTTTTACTTTATAATTGCTTATATTTTCTTTATTTTGTTCTTTCTCCCTTTTGAACAGCTTTCTAAATTATCAAACACTATTACACGAATTGGTCGCGTTTGTCAACACGATCAAGGTTTAAGCATATCAGCATCTGTTCTTCCTAATGCAGGTGGTGTGTTTACAACATTTCGAAAAACTCGACTTGCTTGTCGTGCATATTCACCTTTGAATAATTATAAAAAGTATGAACATCGGAATGAAAACAGAAAGTATGCTCAAGATACTAAAGATGAACAATTTAATGAATATGAAACTATGGGTGACAAAAATTATTTGGAGTTCAATCGAGCTATTGCTGTTAGTGAAATTGTACCGACAAGTAAGGCACAGTAAATATTGAAATAAAATTCTAACTATTTTACACTTCTTCAGCATTTATTTCATTCCATTAGAGGTCATTTTAGAAATAAAGTTTTCACATCTATGAAGTTAATTATACTATCAACTGACAGCTATTTGTTACAGGATTTAATCATGAATTGACATTGGTTAGAGAACCATTGGAAAACCTGGGAGTACTGGACAGCTGTTTCGTCCTAGTTAGAATTCATGGGCCGTTGGATTGGGTTCCAGTGGCTTAATGGTCTACGAGCTAGCTCGCCTTGTAACCAGGAGGTCCTGGGTTCGAACCCCGGTGGGTGTGTACTGATGAAGCGTCCCAAAGCGCTGGGACGAAACAGCTGTCCATTACTCCTAGGTTTTCCAATGGTTCTCTAACTGATGTCAGCTCATGATGAAATCCTGTAACCAATCAAATCCCTACAAACCAACACCTGAATGCCAGATATTTATTGATGAAAATAAATGAACTACGTGTAGATGTTAAGAGTCACTTGACTGGAAGCAGTAAAGTCAGGTCTCTTGTTCAGTAGGACCCATCTCTAAGGCTTATTTGAGAACTTAGTGAAAGTAGTATTTCCCTGAATTACTAACTGTGAAAGTTAAAAACCTGACCACCAAAAGAAGTCATCCTGTGATGCCTGCTAAAGTGATTGGTAAATAAGGTGAAATATCTCCAGTGCTATCCAACTGGCTACATCTTTTAAACAGACATGTTATCCAGCCACAGATCAAAAGGTGTGTTTATTGAACAGCAGTTGAGTTTGTCCTCCTTTATGACTGTGAGATACGGTGACTTAGAATGGAGGATTTGAAAGGGCTACAAGTGACTGAGTTCTGTCTGTCGTGTTTAGTGATATAATGTGGCAAATAACATTAAGTTTAAAAATAGAGTGTTAGGTAATGAGAGTAAGATGACCGATGAGATTGTGGAGCTACATCATCTGAGATGACTATGAGACGTGTTACGTATGCCAGGTGATAGTCTTCCGTGTCCAGCAATGTTAGCTGACATCGACATAGGCTGGGAAAGAATGAGGGCTGGTCGAATAAAAACCTGGCAATAATTCATGAAGTCTTTGACTGTTGCTTTGACTGCCTGGTTGGAGATTTCGAGATTCCAAGAACCAGTGGCTTCAGACTGTTGGTGACATATTATTATTTATTTTAACGCAGAAAAAACTTGTTACAATATGGCACCAAAAAAGATGCGCAACACAGTAATAATAAAACAACATAGATCAAAAGTAAAAAAAATAGGTTGAAAAAGGATAAAGAACTTCATCTGGAAGGCAAACAGTCATGCTTAACAAGTTTAAACAGTATTCGTCAACTGTCATCGAGAAGGGAAGAAAGAAGGAAATTGCAAGACGTTCGCCATTGATTATGATTCCTGGCCATATCCGATAACGTTTCGAGCCATCGATTCGAGCTATCTCGCGGACCTCAACCAAGGAGTCGTAACGCATCAACCGATGCTAATCTAGCATAAACATCCTTCATTCCACGACGCCACGTCGTGCACTGACCACCCCTCCGCCTTTTCCATCCCGTCCCAGGGCTGGCTAGCGAACAGAGACCTGTACGGAAGACTCTGAGGTGACATTCCCAGCACATGTCCAAGCCACCGAAGCCGGTGTTTCCAGATGATGACACTCAATGAATGGTGATCTCCACTGTGTTTAAACATATGCCACCGAACCTCAAAATTAATCACGTGATAATGCCATCGAATGCAAGCAATCCTGTGGACACAGCGATGATCGAACACACAGATTCGCCGCACATCTTCAGCTCGGAGAGGCCAGGTTTCACAGGCGTAGAGCATGACAGCCACCACCGAAGCATTGTATGCCCGAACTTTGACAGCCAGGCTAACATCGCGACGGCGCCGAAGGTGGCTCAAGTTGATGTATGCCACCCTAGCCTTCCTTATACGGTTGGAAATCTCATCTATCACCCCTCCGCCAGTACTCACACAACTACCCAGGTACACAAACTTATCAACAACTTCAAGTGGTTCACCCGCAAGCGTGAGTGCAGGTACAGGCTCCTGCCAATCTTGTAACAGTACTTTGCACTAAGACGGCACAAAGCACATACCATACTTACAGACACTCATCGCCAACTGATTAAGTGCAATTTGGGCAGCCTGCATGCTATCGCACAGTAAGACGATATCGTCTGCATACTCAAGGTCGAAAGGTCTATCTCCAGGTAGCAGATCTACACCACCTTCACGCACATCCTTCAGAACTGACTCCAGTATCTCATCGATGGCAAAGTTAAAGAGAAATGGGGAGATTAGGCAAACGTGCCTTACCCCACTGTTGGTTGGGAACAGGGATGATAGTTGATTGTATTCCCTCACTCTACCTGAGGTGTTTCTGTATAGGGCTCTCAGAATGTTTACAAACTTCTCAGGTACACCTCTCTCTAACAGATAGTTCCAGAGCACACTTCTGTCCAACGAATCGAAGGCAGCCCTAATATCGAGAAACACAACGGCTGTTGGTCTGCAATACGTGTGGTGGTGTTCCAACAACTGACGAAGGGTGAACACATGGTCAATGCATTCACAGACTAAACGAAACCCAGCCTGCTCTTCGCGAATTATTTCCTCACACGTTTAACACAGTCTGCGAAGCAAGACAGCAGCCAATATTTTAGACGCGACTAGTAACAGACTGATACCCCTATGATTGTCGCATGAATTACGTCGACCCTTTTAAAGATGGGGACGATTATGGCTTCGTTCCACATTGATGGTACACTCTCAGTCTCCCATACCTTCCTGAATAATCCAGTTAGTGTGCCATTGCGACAGTCTCGCCACCATCTTCAAAAAGAGCCGGGGTAGATTGTCATTGACATAAGTCAAAACTCTTCTCAATGGCGGAGATGTATTCGTTTACTGTGACCTTCAAGGTCTATCAAAGTCACCCTACTTCTCATGTACTTGTTTTCCTCCTATACATTTCATTTTATCATAGTTCATTTGCGTTGTTTCAATTTTTTTTCTCTTTACCGTTACATGTGTACTATGAAGTATGGAAACTTGACATCCTTCACTTTTGTTCAAAATCGTGCGTTAAAAATTCATTTTATCTCTGTGTTTCTAAACCTCATCCGATAGTAGTATGACTTTGCTTTGAAGCCTTTATCATTTAGTGTGATGGCAACCAATTTTTATTGAACTGCTGTTCACAGCAGACCTTGGTTTACTTAGCATACACAAATCAGTCACTGCGATATGCAAGCTTAACCACCAGGTCGAACTGATAGCAATCGGTGAGTAAGAGACAAGATTACTTGTGTTGGTGAAATACTGTATTGTCCTACTAACCGGCATCCGAGAGTCAAATGAGTAGAGAAAATGAAATGGAAAATGTTTGGCTAGGTCGTAAGTGAAATAATATACCACCCATATGAATGACTTGGACGACTGGAGATGATCAGTCAGATTTCCTACTTTTTCTTCACCAGTTAACCTGATATACTCCAAATCTGGCTGATTAACCTAGCGCAGAAATGATGACATCAGTGATAGGAAGCTTAATACCCAAAAGATTACAACTAGCAGTTTAAAAGAAATATTCACCTTCAAGTGCTGGTTTGTAGGGATTTGATTGGTTACAGGAATTCAACATGAGCTGACATTAGTAAGAGAACCATTGGAAAACCTGGGAGACAATGAGATGCTCACTAGCGACTTGCCCTATTCAGGTAGGTTACCTGGGGTTCTAGTGAGAAAGCGTCACCAGCAGAGTGCAGCAGGTCGGATGTGAGGATAAATACTCGCCGAAGACAATGGCTAGGAGTCGCGCTATGTCGTGGACTGACAGAAGTTAGGATTCATGGGCCACTGAATCGGGTCCCAGTGGCTTAATGGTATGCGAGCTCGCCTTGTAACCAGAACGTCCTGGGTTCGAATCCCGGTGGGTGCGTGCTGATGAAGAGCCCCAAACTAGGACGCAACAGCTGTCCATTAGTCCCAGGTTTTCCAATGGTTCTCTTACCAATGGCAGCTCATAATAAAATCTTGTAAATATTCACATTATTTTTAGTTTTTTGTTTCACTAACTACGGAGTACTGAACAAATTATATGAACTAAATGAACTTGAATTTAAAGACTGTTGTTCGAACTCCTAAGCAGAATGCTTTTTCTGTTTACTGATTACAATTTAAGTCTTATTTGTTGAATAAACGAAATATTCCCATATTGAGTCATAAGAAGAAGGCACAAACAGTGAAGAAAATTTCCTTTTCGACGATTCATTTTCATGAGCTGTACAATCGTAATTATTAAGAAATGTTTAGACCAATCAGATACTGGCAAACTTTGACCATTGAAAATTGTATTACATGTAATGTAATGTAGTGTAATAAGGGATGACTATTTGTAGGTTAAAAAAGAGACAGAAGATGGCATGACATAATAAGTGTGAGATCAATAAGCTCGTATAGAATGGACAGGAACTAGTGAAAAGGCGATAAAGTGTTTTTGTATAAAATCTAAATGAAAAAGCAATGTTATTAATGAACAGTAATAGAGTAGTAATAAAATGGGGATGATGGGAATAATAATGATAATAAAAGTATTATAGGAATAATAATAATAAAAATAGTGAACTTACATAATGAAGGAAAGAAGCAAAATTATAGTAAAAACTTTACTGTGGCCTTGGCAGGGCGAGAGAATATATGTATCACTTTTGAATGCAGAGGTCTGGTTTCAGATCTCGAATAGCTACTGCTTCAGCTATGTACAAATAGCGTATCCGAAGTCTTTTAGAGGGATGATATTGAGGGACTCTGTATACCACTGTGAAGCATTCATGTGGGGGTGCTCAATGTCCGGAGATGACCAGGTGTTCGAGGATACAGCTGCTGCTATTCTTCTTTTCTCCTCTGGCTAACCAAGCTGGACACTGTTCCAGAATACGTTTGTGGACTTGAAATTGCGTATGGCCGATATA